GTTATGTTGCGTAACGGTTGGTATAGGAGAATTGGTGTTCGTCAGGGATGCCAGTTATCTCCATTCCAATTGTCTCACTTTATGAATGACATTGGAATTAATTCTTAGGTACATATGATCAAAGGAGTATATACATTAATATGTTTTATGATATGATTTATTTTTCTTGTTATTTGCAGGCAATATTCATATTTTGACAGTACCCCAAAAGGGCCTTCAAAACAGATTAGATAAAATGTTACTGTAACAAGTGGCAACTGAAAATATGATAAGGGTAAGGTTATTGTTTTTAGAAACGAAGGAAGACTAAGTAAATGTGAAAGATGTTTATCTGAAATAGATTGAAATAGTTTCCACTTATAAGTATTTAGATGTGCATTTTTCAAGCTCTGGTTAGTGGTATGCCACTCAAAAGACTTAAGCCCAACAAGCTTGGAGGGTTGTTACTTTACTGAATTAAGATCAGTTTTGCGTCGTTGCCTGTTAAGGTTCTTTTACAGTTCTTTGATGTGACAATTCTACCCTTTTTGATGCACACCGCTGAGATATGGGGTTTTCATGACTCATGTAATGTTTTAAATGTCCATCATAGATACTGTAAATTAATTTTAGGTTTGAGTAGAACATCTCCCAACTTAAAATTCCAATGTATTCACTTTAGACCGTTTCCGTTTCCGCTTTTCCTTTCAGAAACTTAACGCTTTTGAAAATTGAATCTCGGATGTCCAGAATAATTTGTATATAATAGCACTTTCTAGACTACGTTGTACTAGTCACAAGGTGATTACTATATAGATTTAGTTATGACTATGTTTGGAATACAAAGGGAGTCGATAGTAAAGATATTTTCTTGCAACAATTTTATCAAAGATGTGCTGATATTGATAAGCAACAACTGTTTGAATAAATTCCTGGGTATTTCAGTTTAGACCTTTACCATTCCTTTACGAAATTCTCTTGTCTAACTGAGCACTTTGTTGTACCTTTAAGATTGTTTGCTCGGATCTCAGCACAAACCGTCCAGGCAGGGACTTTTATGCTTTTGGAATCGGCTCCTTTTGTCGTAGTAATGACTGCCTTGATTGCTGTACTTCCTATCCATGCAACTTTAAGAAGAGCAGTATAACTTCCATTATTGAAGTCCGCCACCCGACCGGAAACCGAAGTTGCTCTCTCTGGGTTCTCCATCCAAACTCTCAAGTAATCACCTCCCGTAATCTTTCGGTTACCATGCATATCATACAGGTCTATTTGGACTTCAACCTGATCTCCAAAATTGTAGACTTTGTGGGTGTGTTTGAGATACTTGCATGATCTCTGAGCACACAACGAAGGCACGAAGATTGTTCCATAAACTGTGACACCATATGTCACACCTCTTGCAGGAAACCTGAAACCATACCAGTTACTTACTATTGATCAGTCATCGTGTGAAATCAAGAATTAACATATCAATACCTATAGCAACATATGTTGTACATAAAAGACATCTAAGCCAGGGAATTATAGGACCACAAAATATACTTGAAATATAAGAACATTGACCGAAACTTTTAGCAGGAACTCGGTATCACAACAGAGTCGGTTAATAAAGTCACAGCTAATTAACGTGAACAGAGTACACCAGCGAGAACATCTAATTGCTTGTGCCAACGGGGAAGTTTAATCTAAACTTGCAACGTGCAGACGTGCATTAGATATAGTCATAGCTTTGTGTTCGTACATACATATTGACAGACCTCCTCCAGATTAACCCTACCAAGCCGGGTCCTGGGTCCTGTAGATGTGCATTGAAACATGCCATGGAAAGGCTTATATAGACAATTCTTATCTTTCTGAATTTGTTCCACATTATACAACTGTTGATAGATGAAATATTCAACTTCTGTGGCCTATATATTGGATGTGTTTTGTGTGTGGTTATTCTTTTGTTTGTGTTTTTTTTTTAGTTACGTAATAGACTAAGAAATGGAATAACAGAAGAGTGAAACAACACTGTACGTAAGTGCATGTGAGTAACGTAGCTTTGAGCAGGTTTCCAACACAAGTATTTTTAAAGATCTTTTGCTATGGATTGAATGCAGGAATGATGTATTCAAGAAATGCTTTGAATAATGCGAAACATGTCTCAAACTGTAATGTTGTCGGTTAACACCGGACAAACCAAAAGGGATTAATAACATATTGCATAACCTAAACAACTAACAAACCCCAATGTGAATGACAACATTCAAGCAAACGCTTGAGGAACACTTTTCTCCCACAGACTATTTTGGAACGGTATCCAACAAATGAATGCAAGTTATCTGTTAAATTGAAAAACCAAACAAACATAGTTATATTTGGAAGAGGTGGACCTGTCGCCTCTAAAGAAAAAGGTTTTTTGAATGGCAAACAATCATCGATTGTTAATCAGTATACCTGTCTCGGACTAGTGTTTTCCCATACTATGAACTTGAAAAGAGTGTTATAGATCTGAAATCACGTGCTAAGAAGGTTCTTATTTATTCTAATGTCAATTTCCCAGAAGTTTAGAATTTTAACCCCGAAAATATATTTCAAATGCTTTGATTAAAACATCCAACCGATTATGGTTTATGAGTCTGAAATTTGGATATTTCAACGTCATAAATTTCTAGAGAAACTACACTTTTTAGGATGCAAAAGATCTTTAAATGTAGCGTAAGCAACACCAAATTGTATGGTTTATGGAGAATGCGGTAGACATCCGGTATATATCAATTCACAAATCAGATGTTTAATATATTGGTTAAAAATCCTTGGAATGTACGAACAAATAATCCGAAAACTATCTTATAACATGTCGGTACATTTAGATGATATTGGTAAGACAACAAGGACGTCTCATGTTAGAATATTTTGTTCATCTCATGGCTTTGGATTTGTGTAGCGAAATCAAAGAGTTGGTAATTTTACCTTATTTCATAAGCAATTTCGAGAACAATCTGTTAGCATGTATTATCAGGAATGGCATTCCTGTCTAGACAATAGATCAAGATATCAACTGTATAGATCATATAAGAGCTTAATTCAACCAGAACTATATCTATCTGTATTGGCATCTAGAAATATCAGACGCACATTTGTCATAAGGGATGTGTCATAATGGGTGGATTTGAAACGCGGTATTATTAAGCATTTCCTGAGGTCTTTAATGTTACATTTAAGCTTGGAAATGAATGCAAATCCGGCCATGGCATACATGAAAAAGGTGCTTGTGCATACGGCCATTTATGATGAGCATATGTTTCAAAGGTGCAGCTTCATGTTAAATAAGCGCCCAATGTTAGGAAATATCAGGCCTATATCAGGGGCCATTAATGGTGGGTGCCGTTGTTTACACGTCGCGTGGACGTTGAATATACACAACCCATTGACATGTTGCACATCAACATGAAGCTGGGCCAAAGGGCTAACTTGTAGTATCATCAGAAATGACCTGTCTTTAACAGGTTCGACGCCGGGGAGCTTTTAAGCCCGATTTAACCCGATTTACGGCAGTTTATCACGCTGCAGGTACTTGTCATGTTTCGTACATCGACCACAGGTTTTTGTTGTTACTATGGATCAAAAGCCCTGTGTCCTAGCTTTCAGCGACACGTGCGGATGTTGTCACGTTTTCCAACCCTTAAAGCCAACCGAAGCTAAGCCCCATGCATGTGACGGGAGTCAAAACAGCGCAGATTCGTAGACACCCAGGTTTGATCGGTGCACAGATTGTCTCACACGCGAAGAAAGGGACATATGCACTCATATCATATATGAAACTGTTGCCACGGCATGAAGCACCTGAGATTGTCATGGGGTCGACGTGGGGCACCTTTGAACGATGTTTTGGGTCGCTGTCCTGCTGGAAAATCCAAACATTTCCATAGAACACGTGAGCAGATGGAAGTAAATGTCCCTCGAGAATATCTGTGTACCGCTGACTGTTCATATTCCCTTCAAATACACAGAGGGGCGTTGCCCCTAACACAGATAGCCCACCCCACACGTTAAATTTCGGACTGTACTTTGGGCGCTGATACAAAGGTTTTCAGTTTGTTTGGTCCCGAATTTCAGTGTATTAGGAAACATTCCACACAGAACTTTCATCTGAGAAAATCACATTGTCCCAGTTAAAATGTCTATGCTGTAAGCACCAGTTCAACCTTCGCTCCTTTTGTTCAGGTTTCATGATCGGTGATGGAATTCCTCGACTTTTCTGCCAACCCATTGCATGTAGATCATTTCTAATTGTCTCCTTACAGACAGCCAAATTTCCTCTATCAATCAAATCCAGCCTTAAGTTTTCTAAACTCCTTCGTTTGTTTTTAGAAACAAGAATACAAAGCCGCCTCATAAATAATAACGAGGCTAGCTAGATGTTGGGTTCACAATAGGTGTGGTTATGTGCAGTAGTGGCCTCCACAATTGTTGACATGGTGGTATCTGATGATTTATCACCTGTTTCGTAAGTCCCTGCCAACACTTCAAGGGTCACACTGCCGTACTTGGGGTCACACTGCCGTACCAGAGGCCACACTGCGATTCTGTACTGGGGGATCACACTGTTATACTGGTACATGTAGTTTAGGGAGAACACTGTGAAGATTCGCTTTGAATACAATTCATAACCGATGTCTTTAGCACTTGGCCAAACGCTTAAACCACAGGATACCAGTACGCCCCAACATGGGCAGAATGGAGAGAATCAAAAATCATTTTGTGACTGTGCAGAATAGATTTGCTCAGACCAAAGGTACATTTTCTGAGAACACATGTTTAGTTCAGGTGGAACGCTATGAACATTCGCCAAAACACGACATTACAATTCATAACTGTGGTTACATCGATTGCCTGTCAGTATGTGGTCCAAAGCCTCAATCAAGTAGAGACGATACCAGTTGTTTTGTCATTCGAAGCCAACAATCTGCTATTTTGCCATTCCCTGTTTCAGTGTGGTTATACCCTTTGTGTATCTACATTTGAACTGGAATACACTCAACTTATCACAGTAAGTATCATTGTATGTATTAATTTCGACCATAGCATCACCTTAAGTTCCACCGGGTCATAGAAACAACTCGGACACGGTCTAGTGACGACACCGTTCCCTCCAACTTTATTGTTTTCATCACTGGTCAGCGAAACCGGCGGTTGTTGCTTCCAGTGTGGTGAGAGAACCTGGACTTCTATCATACATGCACATGTCATTGTATCCCAATTGCGTAGATCGATGCTCATGATGTTGATCTCTGGATTGTCTGGTCCAGACTCGAATATTTACAGACTGCTGCCATATAGCTGGAGTATAGCCGAGTCTGCGTTAAACAACATGCAAATAAGCACTTTGGGAAAATTCACGGGACAAATAGTTTGCTACACTATCGACGAAAATGCGAAGAAAGTCCAACCACAATCACCTGTTCTTTGTTTTTTTTCTGTAGTTAATGCATGTCGTGTCTCTCAGAAGTGGAGGCCATCTTTGTGAGGCCCATGCCGACAGTTCGTTTGGCTGAAAAGCGGACCGATGAATAGCAACTCAAAAACTATAATCAAAACATCAGACCAACTCGGTGAGCTTTTTGCAGAATTCCTAAAAATATATTAAAAACATGTTTAACATACTATCTTCAAAATATTGACACAGTTCACTTTTTGTAAAGAGGGAGGAGTGCAAAGAGAGGAACAGCCAGGTTTACGAGAAGCACGTACACAAGTGCCGACAAAGATATTGATTCATTTATTAGTCCAGGGGCTTGTGTAATTCCGTGGGAATTACGTGTTAATTGTTGGAATCAATACTAATTGTAATCATTATTGTGTATGGATTCAGAAAAAAACATGGTTCCATTTTTCTGTTTGCTGTAAGTGTCATTGTGGGGTGATTGGATATGAGTTCCCAAAATTGCTTGTGACACCATTTCGAGACAAAAAAAAATTCATAAACTTATCACAACAGAGTCATGTAGCATATAGCATATCAAAAGGTAGCTTATGATGCATGATATAAAATTAACCATGTAGTATGGTTGTAATTTAAATTTGGTGACATGAAATATGACATAATCATATAAATTAATCACATAGTTTGTCCTTCATCGGACACCAACATTGTAAGTATTGGCCTATATTAATGGAAATCATTTATTCAATCAATGTATTCTCCTATTTCATAATATATACTACCACGACATACTTATGTAGTAATAATAGTACCCAGGTAAGGTTAATGTGACTGTCATATAATCATGCACAAGTGCCAAATCAGGCCTACCAGTAGTCAGAATTGATACACTGTCACACGTGTCTGGGTAATTAAATAACAAATAACATAAAGCCAAATCTGCAGTCAATATAAACTGAATGTATTAATACAGGAGTGACAAATTATATCATCGTGAACAGATAACTACATATTACAAGTGGGGTTTGCAAGTGTAATATATAATGTGTGCTAGTATATATTCTAACTTTCACAAGGATTTAGCATTGTTAAGTAACTTGCATTGTCAAACAATCCGCCATTAACCTGCAAGAAAAAAATATGCTGTTGAAATACAAGCTTCGAAATTATTTGACATACAAACACAAGCATGAATTCTACGCATATGTCTTCTTAATTTGGAAACTAGAAGGGCCCTTGTTAGAGAACATGCCTCCACCTTGCACATCAATCTCCATTCACTATTACATTTTTAGAGTACTACTTTGTACTGGTACTTTAATGTACTTTCAGATAGCCCCTGTGGCATACCTAACATAACCACCAAGATTCGTTTAAAATCCATCCTTTACTTTTTGAGATATTATTAATATTCCCCATTATGTTTGTGTACATTTACTTCAACATTCACTCTTTAAAAAAAAGAAACGCAAAATAAAAGTTGAATATTGTTGTTGTTGTTATGGTTTAGAAGAAAATGCGTGAGCAAATGCAACCATAAACGATTTTGAATGGTTTCATCCATCATGATTGTCATGATGAGCTTGGCTGTTACGGAATACAACCAAAAGCTGCAATTATTGCTTTTCACGTGCAAAGCATGAGTAAAACCAATGACTATAAAAGACCCAAATGCATCTTGCAAATGAGTCTAAGTAAACTTAGGCTCAGCATTATTCGTTACACGGCTATACTCTTACACTGTCTAACAAACCCTAGTAGAGGTCGCGTCAGCTAACATTTGAGCGACCCAATCAAACGCGAGACGGCCGAAAGGATTTAACCAGTCAGACAACGGCTACTATTTAGGGTTCGGCGGGACTTACAAAATGGATTTTCTCTTCCTCGGCCGCTGACACTGATTTCTCAACAAACGAAAATCCGCATTAAACACAGATATTTGACCTGCAGTATATACACTTAGGGGTTTCTGATGGCATGGTGGGATATTGACAAAAATATTTTCAGCGACTGTTCACTCACTGTTGAGAATAATGGTGTCTTCCACGGGTATCACCCGGAAGCGATCGTGCGGAAAATAGCATTCGGAATCGTTCGAGTTCAAACGTTTTAGAGGTAAAGATTCAAATGATATGTACGATTGTTAACTGTCGCGATTTGGTAAGCTGTGTTCTGATTGGTCAATTCAAAAGGTTAGCTGTCGTGATTTCTACAAGGGTTTGTTAGACTCAGTATAGCAGTGCAACGAATAATACTGAGCCAAAGACCCTTGCAAATACTGGATGAGAAAATGGGACCTCTCAACGGTGCCGACCAAAATATTGCCATTGGACGATTACAAGCCGGCGAATCAAAGAGTGATGAGTGACATTCAGCGTTCATCCCTGCACAATAACTCGTTTGTGGGGTCGTTTTGTGCATTTCAATTCGACAAATGACTATCCAAGACCAGGAAGACCGCGAGTCACCACACCAGACCAAGATCGCTACATCCGGGTAACCCACCTGTGTGACTGCCATCGTTCCGCCAGGGACACAGCACAAGAACGATTTGGAGACCGGAGAATGTCCGACCAGACAATCAGACACCGTCTCCGAGTGGCAGGTATGCGTGCCGGACGTCCAGAAGTTGCCCCTCTCTGACACGATTACATCAACGTCCGCGAATCAGGTGGTGTAACACGATACAGCCATGGAACCTTGGAAACTGGACGCACATATGGTTCAGTGAGGAACTGCGGTATCCCCTTAAGCGGCGGGACGGAAGACGTGTCTACAGACCACTCTAGAACCTTTTGCACCCAACTGCATCAGGCAAGTGGACAGACTTGGTGGAAATGGTGTCATGGTGTGGGGAGCCATCTCATACACCTGCAGATCGGAATTTGTTCCCGTCCAAGGCAATCTAACGTGTACGTCCACGTAGCAATCCGCCATTGACTCATCAATAGTTGCAGGAGGAATGAAGCAATATTCAACAATGAAACATCCAACAACTGATTCGATCTGTGTAAAGGAGGTGTCGTGCAGTTCTAGGAGTAAGAGCTGATCATACAAGGTAATAACGTCAACACCACCTCGTGGACAGCAGTAATGACTATGGTGAATGTCAATTCTTTTGAAATGTGCATGAGGTACCAATGTATTGCTCTACATAATTTCAATGCTGTACCGTTACCGTTAAGTTTCGTTGATTTACATATAATTGAATAAGATCAAATTTTTCAAAGATATTTTGATTTTGCATTTCTTTTTTGAAGAGTATACTTTCTTCAACATCTAATTGATTTGCCCTGCCTGGGGACATACCCAAGAGATCCAGTAAAGTTCATTGAAATCCATGTAGTAGTTTTTGAATAAAGTTGCTAAGACATGAATACACACACACACACACACACACACACACACACACACACACACACACACACACACACACACACACACACACACACACACACACACACACACACACACACACACACACACACACACACACACACACACACACACACAACACACACACACAGGGTCTGATACATACCCTCTGCAACAAACCTTCGGTGTTGGCAGAGGCAATTATGACCATAGTAATTATTATGCATATATATATTATTGGGATTCATGATATATAAAGGTAGTTATAATGGTAGTCACAAGGTACAATTTGATATACAACATGTCTATGTTGTGAAAAGTATATAAACATATGTGTTTCTCACATTGGTGTTGCAGCTCGATTATGGGTGCCGATGTTCAGTTACTCCAGAATGACACTTAGAATTATCAGATAAAATGGAACCATTTTTCTCCTATTGGTGTTGCAGGTCAATTATGGTTACGATGTTCAGTTACCCTAGAATGACACTTATAATCATCAGAAAACCTCAGAACCTCCTTCTCCTCCTCCTCCTCCTCCTCCTCCTGTGGTACAAGCTGCTCCTCTGTTTATTAACAGAAATCTGAGATTACCTCCTGAACTGAATGTACACACTGGTAACTTACCTGAGAATCTGGAAACGTCATGTAGATTTTTATACGACAGCTACTGGTTGTATCAACACCACAGCTGAAGTTCGTACTGGAACTATTATATCAGTCTTGATGGTGAAGCCCTTATGAAAGCTTATGTACATTTTAATTGGGTGAACAACCCTCAACATGTTTTTGACACAATTAGAGACTACTGTAATCTCCGCCAAAAGGAAGTTGTGGAGTCACACAAGTTTCTTACTGTGCCATATTTTGAACCTTTTGACCAGTTTGTGACAGAACTAAGATCACTTGCTGCACAGTGTAATTATGGTAACCAAGAAGAAAGCATGATGCGTGACAAAATTGTGTTCAGTGTATCTGGAAAAGTGCAACAACTTCTACTTCGTGATGATAACCTAGATCTCAAGAAAGCTATCAAAATTTGCCAGCCATACGATCAAGCTAACAAACAAGTGAATGCCATGAAAGAACCTAGTGCAGACAAGAAGCTTAACAAGGTACAAAGGAAAACTGGCCCTGGTCCACGGAACACTCACGGCACCCCAAACTCTAGTTCTAAATCCAGTGAAGGAAAGGAACAAGTGGGACGCTGTAAATTCTGTGCTAAAGTGCAT